GCGATTCAGGAGACTACAGCGCCATCTCTTGACCATTGGTGTAGTAGAACCAAAAACCACATCTTTATTTTTTGTAATAAAGTAACAGTTATAGGTATTCATATTTATAATATTTATCCACATGTTTCTAGTTTGTATATTCGGAATACGTGTTTGAGTTTCATACAAGTGCAAATCACATATGTTCTAATAAATTATATTCAGTAGCGATTTTAATTGAATATTTTGATTATTTATTTATTTTTTCAAATTAAAACTGAACTTTACTGACTGTGTCCTTTTCCAGACTTTTTATTAATTTATTGTAATTAATTATTTGCATGCAATTAAAAACTAATTTTAAACGATGCCAAAGAAGGATAACTTCTCACGCGCCTACATAAGTACACGCACCCATTTTTTTTATATTTGAGTTGTTTAAATGAAAGGTAAATTGCGTCGTTCAAACCAATTTTCGGTAGAAGTTTGCATGGCAATGTACGTCATATACTGTTTTTAGTTTTATCATTCTTTTATTTTAGAAGTTACAGGGGGGTTGACACACATTTTACCACTTTCGAAGTATCTCCCGCGCAAACTATTCAGTTTAGAAAAAAGCATTTTTATTATTTTTGTAGACCTATCCATAGATATACATAGATACACGTATGGGTTTGATAAAATAAATTTTTTGAGTTTCAGTTCTAAGTATGGGGAACCCCAAAATTTACTGTTTTTATTTCTATTTTTGTGTGAAAAACTTAATTGGCTGTGACATACGGACGGACAGACAGACATGACGAATTCATAAGGGTTCCTTTTTTTGCCATTTGCCTACGGAACCCTAAAAAACACTTTGATAATTAGTATTACATACGTAACATCAAGTAGGATGAGGTTTACCTACCTCATAGTATGTCGTAAATAGAAAGCTGTCTAAAGGAATATATTTTAACTGCTATTGCATGAAATTGAAAGTTCATAAGTGTTTTATTGCAATTTGATGTAATAATTTTGCAAATACATAGTTTATATTTACAACATACTGTGTGAGGTAGGTACCTACGTAAGTTTGTTTATTTTGTAACTATATATCTATATTCTAAATAATGTAATGGAAGGTGCCTTCAGAAGTATCTCTGCAGTCATTTTTCAACATGACGACTCTGTATATAATACAGGGAGAAAAAAACATGATTCATGATCTTGACACTGCAAAAGCTGATAAACTTTTTGATGAATATACACACATCAAAAGTGTCTAGGGATCAAGCATTTTTATGCGGATTTCTTGAGATTGAGATGTGGCTTTGTAATAAATTTATGATTTTATAAATTTATATGGATCCTTTTTGGTGCATTTCATAATTTGAATCAGGAACTGTGAATCAAATTCGAGTAAAAGATGAAAATCAGCTGTCAATATTTTCCCTATAAAAACATACAACGCATTGAAGACATTATTAGTGCTACTGTTTCCCTACTACTGATTAAAACCAACGTTATTATGGAGCGGCGACGTCATTTAAGCAGGGAAGAAATGCTCAGAGCCGTGGGAATGATAGAAGCTGGTTCCCGGCAACGTACTGTGGCTTTAGCTCTGAATACAAGTCAGAGTGTTATCAGTCGACTTTGGACACGATACCGAAGCACTGGTACCGTGGCTGAGCGCCATGGAGGACGGTATCGCTGCACCACACGGAGACAAGACCGATACATTCAAATCTTAACTCGAAGAGCTCCAACAATAACCGCCATGATGTTAGCCGTGAGGCTTCATCACTCTTCAGGGAACTTAATTAGCGACCAAACAGTCAGAAACCGCTTGCATGAAGTGAACCTTCATTCCCGAAGACCGCTACGGGTACCACCTATAGCAATGCACAATCGTAGGATTCGATATCAATGGGCTCTTGAACACAGAAATTGGGCAGAAGAACAATGGCGTTTCGTGTGCTTTTCTGATGAGTCTCGTTTTGGTATGAGACCGGATACAAGACGTATACGACACTGGAGAACCCCTGGACGCCAACAGCGATTAAAATCCTGCCAGGAAGTCCATCCTTATAGTGGTGGAACCATCATGGTATGGGCGGGTATTTGGATCGGCAGAAGAACTGAGTTGATTTGGATCAGAGGCAACCTCAACGCTCAAATTTATGCTGAGACGATTGTATCAGACGTCATCGTTCCTCTACAAGTGCAAATCGGTCCCTTATTTCAGTTAATGCATGATAATGCACGACCGCACACCGCAAGAGTTGTAAGACAGACTCTCGCCGCAGCTAACATCAATGTCCTGCCCTGGCCTGCTCAGTCGCCAGACTTGAACCCGATTGAGCATGCATGGGATATGCTACAGAGAAGAGCTCTGCCGAATATGGAGGGTATCCAGTCGCAAGAAGACCTTTTTTTGTTGTTGCAACGAACATGGGCGGCCATTCCACAGCGTGATTTGGATGAACTCATTTTGAGTATGCCAAACCGATGTTCTTGTGTTGTTAGTGTTCGCGGTAGAAATACGGATTATTAATTGTTTAAGTTACCCAATAAAATTTTAGAGAAAACTGTTATTTCAGTCTTTTTTTCGAACTTTTGTGTTAGTGGTTCAAATGTCAAAAATCCCTTTATTAGGAAAATGGCAAATTTCTTTATTAATGCAAAGGTGACTTGGTTTATCGTTACTGTGACAAACGAAAACACTTTATTTGATGAATCCTTAAAGAAAATTTTAATTAATATCAATCAGGAGAAAAGTTATTGCAAAAATATATGTTGATCCCTAGACACTTTTGATGTGTGTATTTCCGATTGACTTTAAACTTTTCCTGGTTTTATTGTAAAATATTTTTAATGTTTGTTACAATCACCGACAGAAAATTATTTTTATTTATATTATAGCCACAGAGATGTATATGCGTGACGTACTTATGCATATTAGCACTAGAGAGCTGAAATTGTTTGGAGATATGTATATCAATCATGCCAACAAAATGGTAGAATAAAATTTTGAAAATTTTTTTAGGGTAGCTCCCCTACATTTAACCTGGGGATGATTATTTTTTTCATCATCTATTATCCCATCACTTTAAAATTACTTAGGGGTTCCTAAAACTATTTTTCGATTTCCGATCCGAGGGATCAGTTTGCGAAATATTGAACTTTAAACTGCTAATTTTCGTTCGAGTAGGCATTCTGGTACAGAAAAATCAACCCAAAAAGAAGTTATACTTTTTCAAAGTTGTCTCATCGTTGAATTTAAAAAATAACGTTAAAAAACTCTAACTCGCAAACTACGAAAAATCGTAGAACATACATGTTAAATACAGGGGTTAAATTGATACGTATGGTACTCCGCTATCAGCTCGCACTGGCTTGACACCCTAAAAGAAACACCCTGTATATAATCAAGTACCTGACAATATTAAGCAACTACCCTACAACAGGTTCAAAATAGTATTGAAAAATTGACTATTGGATAAATGCTTTTCTTCTGTAGAGGAATTTTTAAAAAATAAGTCCTGTATATTGAAATGGACGTCGATTTTGGATTAATTTTATTTTGAATATATATCATATATTATTGACATGAATATTCTTTTTGAATTGTAATTAGGAATTGTAATTAATATTGACATTGAATTGAATAACACTAAAATTATCATAATGAAATAATTTGTTATTGTAGGTATATCACAGTAAATTGACTTAAAATATTTTGTTTTAAACTGACATTGGGAATTGTGATAAAATACTAGTTTTTAAATAAATGATAGGTAAACTGAGAATACAGTTACATGACTGTTAGAATTTAAATATGTTAGATATTTTTGCATGCTATTAATACGGCTAAATAGGTTTAGGATTCTTTGCTTTTAACATATAGTTTATATGCAAAAACCCTTTTGTCAACCCTATTTAATGCAAATAAAGAGTATTCTATTCTATTCAGCTAGACCCAAAAGACTCGGATTTGAAGTTGGTTGACAATACATTAGAACCAATTCAGACTTTTATTCCTACCTACGCCGGAAAAACTGCTAAACACATTTTTCTGCAACTGTTAAAATGTGGTTGCAAAAAAGTTTGACTGTTTTGTCCTCTGTTAATATACGAATTGTCAAGGCCAGTCGTGTTCTAATGTTGAATGACCAACAGTAGAGCGTTCGTTTGCTACCAACGAAGATTCTTGCGATACATCGCTACTGACACAATTCATTTACACCCAGGATGAACGAAGAAGAAGATTAAGAAGAAGAACATCAACAATATGAACTAATTGAAGATTATGAACCGGACTAATTTTTCTACTATTTTTTGATTTTCATCGCTTTAATATCAATACCAACCCTTACTAATATCTGTTATTAGGCAAAAGTTTCCAATAAAACAGAATCACAACAGACCTGTGGAATTGGCCTACTGGGGAAAACAGGTTAAAAAAAACGCGCTGATGATAATAATTGATGTTAATTTATGTACCTTTGAATGTCTCGATTGACCGGAATAGTACTATCCCGTGTCCGTGAATTCAACCGATATTTTAAGTAGCTGCTGGTGTCAATTCAGGCGTGATTCTCTAAACTTAAAACTAAATTTACCATCAGTCTCTCCTTTTCGTGCTGTATAGAGAATGAGAAAGATACACTGTTGTCAAATTTCAGTTTAGGGTTAGAGAATCATGCCAGAATCGACACCACTCTATACCTAAAATTTTAGTGTCAGTGGCCTCATGCAACGCAACTAGTAGTGCTAGCGTGACCGGGGTTCACGTAACCGGGCACGTAACTGTTACGTTATTACGTACGCTCGCTACTATTTGCCTATCACTGGCTGAACTGCGCATTGCTTATTTACTAGAATGCCGCGAAAAACAGTTTTTGTGTGAAACTTCTTTAGGCATATTTGACTTGGGGGGTAAAATGGAGAATGTGTTACGATTTCGCGTTACAATTAGTGTCATTGGTGACTCACCGGTATGAACAATACCTGTCACAAAATACATGAATCTAGTGCTTGGTGGGTGATAACGGACCCAGCGCGGATTGGTGAGTGATAACGGACCCAGCACGGATTGGTGGGTGATAACGGACCCCGCGCGGATTGGTGGGTGATAACGGACCCCGCGCGGATTGGTGGGTGATAACGGACCTAGTGCGGATTGGTGAATGATAACGGACCTAGTGCGGATTGGTCGATGATAACGGACTCAGTGCGGATTGGTGGGTGATAATGGACCCAGTGCGGATTGGAGGGTGATAACGGACCCAGCGCGGATTGGTGGTATTTTTTCTATCAACAAATCTTCAGGTTAAGTTTATGATATGAAGTTTCACTTCATTCGTGTGGTCATAAGCACACTCGCTTTTTTATATTTACTAGTTTTGGTGCCACTTTATTGAATTTGATTATTTTTAGGTTTTTTTTTTTATTTGACAAAAGTACTCAATTATTACAAACGGATGTCCTAAGAGATCAATTCCATTTAAAGCTTTACTAAATGAAGTTTTATCTTATTCTATTATTATCACACCGAATGATCCACTGTTAATCAGTGATAAGTTACTGTGTATACCAGTATGGGACGCGCCGCTGCTAAAACCGCACTTATAGCATAGCAACCAAATAGATCTTTGATTAAAATTAAGTTTTCCTACAATAGATCTAGGTATATAAGGTTGCCAAGGTCTTATCAATCCATCAGCCACTCATCATTAAGCTGTCTTTGATTGCTCACTCACGTCTGATTGTTTCTGAGGACTATAAAACGCTATTGAAAAGACAAGCTCTGAGGATACCACTATTCGAGCTATAAATTCGCACTTTGCTAGTAGGTTTGGTGCCTTGATTCTAGCACGAGTCTACAATGCAGTACTAGATTCTGTAATTTGAAATCCTGCCCTGTTTGTAAGGCGAAAATGGTTTTCGAAAACTGGCTACTCACTCTAGCTAGACTATCATTCTACAGAGAAATTTTTACGTTAATGCTTTTAGACCAGTCTAATATAATCAGTTTATTTTAATTCAAATCTTGTTTTATCAAAGGCTTATTTGGAAAACGCAAGTCTGGAAAAATAATGTTTTTGGTTCTCGGAGGTATAAGCTTAGCCTAGTTTAGGGTCCTCTGTGCATTCGGTTATGCATTCTGCCCAGTACGAGGTCCCCACACAAGGTCCCCGCTGTAGTTATTCGAACTGATGCAACGATGGCGTAGCTTCTCGACTATCACAATATTTGTATCTGCAGTATGTAGGTATTTTGTTACTTTGTGAAAACAAATATTTTTTTATTACTTGTTATAAAATTCATAAGTACCTTTTGTAAGTTTACGTTGCTTTTAATAGTACCAACCACAGAAATATTACTGTGAAAAACATCTTATTATAGACTTGTTCGCCGCCCTGTTTAGACAACAAAAAATACCTACTTAAGCACCTTAAAACATCGATACTTATACTAGTGATTAATGCTACATTTACTTAGTAACATAATAATTCAAATCTTGGCAAATACGTAATTTCTTGCGTCGTAATGATGCGCGTTCGTGATCGTAAAAAAATAATTATCCGCAAAATAGACTAGGAAACTATACAGCAATTACAGCACACACATACCGATGATTATGTATTATATTTTTTATGAGAAGAACAAAAATTTTAATAGTTGTCTTTTAATTACAAGCGCGTGCTGTGTGAATACATTTGTACGTCCTTTTGCTCTGTACACTGATGTCATAATATAACAATTCGTGAAGGAAAACTCTGTACTCGTTAGGTAACATTTTCTGTACACTGAGGAGTATGATTTAGATTAGATTTTTGCATAATCTTTATAAAGAGAGGAAGTGAGATCTAATATTTGTCTAAGAAAATGCATTAGAAATAGATATGTGCATGAAATCTTAAGAACACTGCAGCATGTGTAAAAATGCACTACGGCAGATATCCTCAATAACATTCAAAGTTAAAAATCTCAGTCTTCGTCAAACCGTTTGTTAGCAAATAGTTCTTTAAAACTAACAAAGCCGTTAAATTAATTTAAGTCCTATATTGAAAATTTAACAGATCATTACTAAATTAACCATCAAGCGAATGACTTGAGAACCATTCACTCATATTTTAAAACCGACTAATAATAATGTTATTATTTTTTTAGCATAAATATGATGACGTCTCCTATTTTCAACGGAAGCAAAATAGGTAAGACAACCAAAACTAAAATAACATTCACTAGGTAGATTTGATACACAACCACTCGTGTGTTTGTTTTTGCTTGTTTTAATTTCAGGTCCGTCATTGAAATGTCCAATATTTGTAGGATGTATGGTTTATCGTTTGGATTGTATGTTGTAAAAAGATATTGTATGCTTTCATATCTTTTTTATTTGATTAATATAAAAATGCATACACCGCGGTGTTCTTTCAACATTGTTATACAAATTGTGAGAAGGCGTAATATGCTTTCCACATTACTTATATTATATAGAACATCTTCATCTTTGAAAAAAATATTGTATCGTTGTTCATTTTGACGTAGTTATAATCGTCTGTTAATTATGTAACTGATCTCTATGCCCGTGATTAAGTTTACCAACACATCGAAGAGGGAAATCCTCTGTTTGTTATTGTTTGAAGGAACACAAAAAAATATTAACAGTCCTTTAACGGATTTGAAAAGCTGTTCAATGAATTACAAAGCTTGGTGAAAATAAGTCTAAAGCAGATTTTGTTTAATTCTCTAGAATACAAAAAATACGTCTATACACTAAAACCATCAAAAAACAAACGAGGTAGGTGCCTAAATAAGTATTCAATGTATTTGCAAAAAAACAATTAACAAATAAAAAGTGTATCAATTCTATGCATGACGTAAACCAAGCATATATAAGGATTGATTCAATCATTGATGGAATTTAATAAGGAAACTAATAGATAAAGCATTAGCCCCCTTTAAGTTAGTCTATTCAACGAGCTTTAAAAACTTTATAGCTTAAACAAAAATTGAAGTAGTTTAGCACCAAGAGGATAAAGCAATGTATTTTGTCACGGGCAACATATTGAATTTTAGGCGAAATTAAAGTTACGTAGTGAGGGTATGAAGATGTTAATCCCGAACGAGGTGAGGGAATTATGGTAAGAATCCTGAATGAAGCGACAGATCTAAGTCTGTCCAAGACTAAGACACTTTTATCCCCGATAAGCATACTCTACTCTACTCATTAAATAAAATTAACAGTAAGTTCATGAAATTAAATGTTCTGCAATTAACATTAGCCCAGTTAAGGAAACTAATGTTAAAAATTATAGAAAGTACACTAGAAGTTAAGATCCAGAAATAAGTAATTAAAATTATTTATTTTTTTAGAGGTTCCTCTTATTTACTCTACTTAATATGTATAGTAAAAGGCTTTTCTTAGTAAGTATATATAATAGAGGATACTTTTTTATAGACGCAAAGCTAAAAACAAGATTGAATAACATACGCGTGTGGGTAAGTATATAAAATAAAAGTAATAAAAATCCGGAACCGGAATAATTATGACATAATCGTATTACCTACTAACATACTTAATAATAATGAATATGTTAATGAAAATTTTGTGTTAAAATTACAACCTGCCTCTCTTGTTGATGAATAAAAGGTTAGATAAGATCAATTTATTCGGCCCCAGAATATATGCCTACTCCAAGTTACAGCCGCCGACGTCTTCTGCAACGAATGCTAAATTAACGGTACCATTTTGCATTTAAAACAGGTTTTGACGGACGGCACACTCTCCACACTCTCTGTGGTGTCCACTAACAGATTAAAACTAAAAAAAATGAAAAAAATCTATGTGCTTGTGTCTATTATTGCATAAACTGAACTGCGACTGTCAGTTTTTGCTGACGCAAAAACACCGGCAAAACGAACTGTGCTTAACAAATTTCATTAATATCCGCGTGCGAACACTGGCATAAATTATTAAAAAATAATACAAAAGATGTTTAATTAAGTACTTACTTTTTGGTTGTAAAATCCTCCTTTCAGTTTCAAACCAGCACAAGACAGCACATGGACCGCGTGAAAAAAGTTTCGTATCCACTAGAACGAAGTGTACGTGCGAGCACACTGGCACACAATACTCGACTGAATGGCACGACGGACTCAACCTTGTCCAACTTCTTATGGACGGAATAAAAAGTTATGAACTTTCTAATTCGGATTTGCGACTCTACAGACAGACAGACAGTCGGGTCAGACAGGTGTCTATATAATGGCGTCGTGTCGCTAGAGCAGCGTCATATTTCGTATAGTTTTGATGAGGTATTTAAATAACAACCTCTTCATTGAATTATAATTGTGAAATATTTAATAAACCTATCTTGTGTTTGAAGATTGTTTTTCTTTGATGCATCTTAGGTCTGGCTTAGCCTAGAAAAATACATTAGTTTAAAAAAAAATTATTCTACGTCAATTTTTAAAAAAAAATTAAATCGTCCAAAAACGAACATTTTTAGTAACGATTTTTTTCTACTCGATCGATTCCTCAAAATTCTTGGTGAATCGAATCACCGGAATTTTTTTTCCCGCTGTGCGCCTTCTGGGAAAGACGGGACAGGCAAGTACTTTTTTTTCGGAGATTGAGAATTGTTGCTAAAGTTTGCGACACAGGTTGACAAATTTTACATGACTCTCTTGGGAATGGCGTTACCCACATGATAAACTACTTTAGAAATCAAAATGTTTATTATAACATGTTGCGTTGTTGCAAACGTAAAACCGACATAATTGCAATTTACTGCTAAACTAACAATCTCACGTTATTTTTTCATAGAACTGATTTTGTAGAGGGCAAGCTAATGAACAACTTTGATTCAAAAAAATGGTTGCCTGTAAAGTCGGTTTTACGGGCGAAGATTTTACGTGACAACGTCTTTTTCTCGGTAGAATATTTATTGATATGAATATAATTAAATTGCACAATAGGAACAAGGAATTGAATGAAAATAAGAATTGCACAAATTTTAACTATAGAAATATATTTTGTTTACTAAAACATTGTACATGTAAACTTAAACTTAACACGAGAGACTCATCGTAACGTTACCGAGCGTTACACTTTTTCATAAGTGACTCCCAGCCGCAACCTAATTTAAGACGTTGTCACGTCAAAAAAAATTCAAAATCCCCGTTTACAAGCAAAAAAACTCAAAAAAACCGGTTTTTCTTTGTTTAAACAATTTTCCTGGCTACAAAACTCGGGTTCTAGCGGGGACAAATGGAGGGCATATTAGTGGGGGTCTATACTATCTAGGAAAAAATTGGCTAAGCGCTGGTGTCTTAGAATAGAAGTCGGTCCAAATTATGGCTATTCCGACTGGACTATTTATCAATTTCTTTTAAGTAGATATTTTTTGTGTAAAATTACTCACAAATATTTATATAACATGCAAGTTTTGAAAGAATAAAATAATTTTATAGAAAACAATTAAGTTAGTTATGAACATGTGTATAATAATTAATAAAAAAAACAGCAAATCATTAATGATAATGATATGAGATATATTATTATACATTAAATATTTTGGTTTAGGATAATTTCAGGTCTTAGTTATATTATAATAACTTAGATAATAACTTAGATTTAAACTTCTAATATGTATTGTAAACATGGATAGCACATACAAAATTTGATGTATGGTAATATTTATTTCAAACATGTCATATGTCTGAACTGAATTGTTAAGTAACGTTAGAGCATATAGCTATTGGACTCGTAAAAATAACATTACCGAATCTTCTAATAAATGTACCTGCCCAAGTTACCACAAGTTAAAGTTTAAGGGTTATGAAAAGAAAATAAAACTGTAATTATGATACTCAACGTAAACAATGACACAATACACCGCCAAATCCTGCATACATGTATCGAGAGTGTGCCCTATTTGTATGCCCAATTCGACAGAGAGGAAAGCTGTGTATGCCTACTCCGCCTTTGACTGCGTCAGCCGTGTTGCGTGGATACTACATTCATTCCCTTAGCCTTCTCTAAAACAAATGAAGATGCAGCGTTGTTTTTTATTTTCCTATTTCGGGGTTCCGTACTAGGCAGTCAAAAGGGAACCATACTGCTATAGCACAAATAAAAATAACGCTATAACAAACAACACGTCCACGCATGCGCAAAGATTATTTGTACTGCAAAAAAGAACCAAACTAGATAATTTAAAATAGAAATCTAAAAAGAAAAGTATGTGGGAAAATTGCATACTAAAATGTAGAGTATATATAAATTTATAGAAAATACTCTAATCATAAGACACGTTGCAATGCACGTTGATAATTTGCAAGGAGACGGTAAATATCACTTCAATATTTTGTTTAATCGAATGTTTTTGTTTCAACATGACATAAATTTTACTTCGTTTCATTTTCCAAAAATAGAACAATGCCTAACCCAAGAAGTCAGATACTAAGAGATAATTGATATTAATGAGACTGGCTTTTAAGAACCGATAGGTATTGAAATATATGCTAAGTAACCTTCGGGGAATCACCACTCTGATCACGGACGGCGACGTGAGTTTTTCTTCTAAAGGCTGATTTACACTTCGGTAAGTACAGTAGCAAGTTTACAAATCGGACAATTAAGCAGTATGTACTGGCAAATCATTGTCCAAACGGTGATGAGACTTTTCAGAAATAGGTATTTGGAAGACTATTGCTGTCACGCATTGGCAAATACCGTGCGATAATGACAACAGTAGTTAACGCTGAAAATTGCGTATTTAAAAAAATGCTAAATTCGAGGTTTGGCTCTCCACGATTTCCTCCTCGAAAATGAAATATATGTAAAAGAAATTTTACCCATAGAATAATAAATAACTATACTATGCCTTAATATTTGCTTTTTTGTAAATGCATATTAAATCTCCACACTAGACGTCTTTAGTGGTTATAAAAATTTGACTATTTTTGGCATTAAATAAAACTAGTTTTAACGGATTGATGCACGGACTTTATTTATTTATTGACGTTTCGCAGCCTTTTCAGGTCTGCATCGTCACAATAGTAGTAGTCATTATTGTGACGATGCAGACCTGAAAAGGCTGCTTTGAGTGATGTGCGTGAAAACCTAAGAAACAAATATATTTTTGGCATTTTTGAGGCCTTCTAGTTTCTTTGAAATACAAGTTATTTAAAAAAAGGAAGACATAGGGGCGTGGAATGAGTAAAATTATATTTTATGTATGAAAATCAATTCTTTAGTGATAAAAATCAAGGAGGAATTAGTCGAGAAAGTTTGTATGGAATAAAACACTGATCGCCTCCCCTAGTAACTCGCAAAGACTGTATGTTAACTATCTACTGTTGACTGTTATTGCAATTTTAATTTCTTTTATCTATTATCTTAATCAGACCCGTCTTTCCAAGTGAGCACTTTGGGCAAGTGCCCAGGGCCCCGCGATCGATAGGGGGCCCCCTCAGATCAAATATAAAGTCCCTAGTTCCTGTAAAATCACCAAACGGAAGTCATAGGGGCCCAATTATCCTAATATGCCCAGGGCCTCCAATAGGTCAAAGACAGCACTGATCTTAATAAATCAATGGCCAAATAAACCAATCTATTAATTAACTATTGAACTTTATTGGATTTCTTTAATGTCGGTTATAAAATCCTTTAAAAATTTAAAGATAACGAGATTCATCGACTTCTAGGCGGTACGAAGTTCGCCGGGTCAGCTAGTTACAAATAATTAAAATGATTCTATATTATGCTCAAAAAATAACTAAAGTTTTTATTTGGTTCTTATGTTGAATGTGTCAGACTCGTCAAACTTGAACACTTGAACTAACGCGCGGCGCATTTAGAGGAAAAATAACAAAATTTACGTTTTCAAAACTGGTTTTGAATATTTTAAGTTTATGAAATAGATTTTTTTTTTGCCAAAGTTATTTTTAGTACAGTAGTAGTAGAATGCTGTCCGGACAACTTTTCGGTTAAAATAAACGAAGGCAGCTTACTATTACAACGGTTACTGTTTCAGTATGCGCTGTTAAGGATTTTGGGGTTCCTTGCCCGAGGGGTTTCAAATGGAACCCTTAAATAATGTCTCCCTTAGCTGTTTTCTAAGGGTCACTCAAATGTATGTTTAAGACACCTTAATACCGTTTTCATTAGATTTATCGAGCTTAAGTATGAATTTTAGTCTACAACCAGTGTATTTATATAGATACTAGCAAACCAATGAACCAAAGGTTCACCAAAACCTGATTTAAAAAAAATGTATTTAATTAATTGAGATTTCAGGGTGGTTTCGTTTCAAATTCGTGATTTCTCGAAAACCGGAAGTGCTACGTTACTCAAATCCAGTTTGTAGTCTTATCAGACTATTCTTAACTTATAACTTAAACATTCTCTTTATCTATCTCTTACGGTTTGGCCGCTGAAACAGCACCACAGACGGACGGACGGACGGACTTGTCTAATAGATAAGAGATACTTGAGAATAAGAAGTAAAAATATTAGCATTGATTTGTTAAGGTCCACTTGTAGAAACTTTGCTAAATCTTAATTTAACTTAAGATTGATTTAGCATATACAATAATGTCAAATATAATAAGGAAATATAAAAACATCAATATTTATTATATACAGCTGGCAGCTACCTTGGACAAAGAATTAGTCTAGCTATTCAAAGGGGGGACGCTGCCAGTATCTTCGGAACCTTGTCTAAAGGGACTCCTTTTAATTATATATTTTAGTTATTACACAGTTTTTAGTTATAAATATCTTACTTAAATTTCAATTGACATTGACGTTTTGATATTTTTCTATGGATTAAAGCTAGTTTTAGTATAATCGACATTTAGCAAATTTGCTGCAGTGAACCTTAGTCATGTTAATTCAAGAAAATGAGTCATTTCGTGACCTACACACATATGTGTACACATATAATACGCTTCAACAATCGAACAAGAGAGACAGTGTCATTGAACCAAGGCAATTAATTGATCTTCACCTCTTGATTGTCAATTTCAATACAATTGGTGTAGGTAGCCACTTGGAACAAAGCGATTTCGTTGCGATTTCTTTAATTCTTTAGAGTAGGTACACTTGATTAGTAAAAAAAAACTTATCGCATTGATTGCGTAAGCATCAGGTATGTACAGTTTTAGTGTTAAAGGAAAAGTTTATAATTTTATTAAGGCCGCGTTGTTTCATCTATAGTCAAATTTGACTTTAGTTTTTGATTAGTAAAAATTTTTATATAAAAAAATAATAGTTACAATCATATTGTCATTGGTGTCAATTCTGATATGATTCTCTAAACTTAAAACTAAA